AAGGGGTGGGTTGGGCCAGTAGGCAGATACTCCTATAGCCAGATACCTCCCAGCCCTGCAGGGGCCACTGTGAGCTTGAAAATGTGGCATGACAGAAGGTGTTCACAGATACCCATTTGGTTCCCCCCAAAACAGAAAACAAGCAGAGACCAGTGGTGGGCACAGCCACCCTGACCTGGGCCCCCCCGACCCAGGACGGGGTCCTGCTGGCCCAGAGCGCCTGCTGGCTCCCACCAAGGGTTAGCCGGGAGGTACACTTCTCTGCCCAGAGGGCCCCTCTGTCTCCCACAGGCAGGAGTGGCCCGGGACAAGGGTGGAACCACAGATGGTGACTGTGCCTGTCGCCCTGCTCCCGCAGGGTCCCCCGACTACTCTGTGTCGACACCGCTGGAGCTACCACAGGGGTGGCCATGTTTTCCTTTGCCCACCTGGGCCTGGGTGCTGGCAGTGCCCCACACCCATCAACCATCCGAGACAAGGCTCCAATTTTTCAAAAGAATTTATTAAGAAACAGAAGAAAGATACAAAGTACACAATCGAAGGAATAAGAGTTTACAACAGATTTTTCAGCCCACTGCAACTAAGAGAAATTTATTGGGCTGACACCATGGATACCAAGACCCCAATTCCATTTTCAACCCTGTCTCTCTTGGCTCCTGAGCCAAGCAGTTCTAACTTTCTCCTGAAACAAGTCAGGCTGTCTTCTAAAACCTCCCCACACCTACTTCCTGTTTGCCTCTACACACAGGCCCTTCTCTATTTGGTCCCAAAGATTCCTCACCTAAAGCTTCAAGGGAGGTCCACACCAGCCCTGCTGCAAAAGGCATCCTCTAACCAAAGGCATCTGTGGTCCCTCAAAAATAATTTTTTGCTCTTGTCCTGATCCATTTAATTAAACTATATTCACAAACCAGATGGTTCTACTACCTCTGGTCAAGTTACCAATCTTTCTAAGCCTGCATCGGAACTGGGTCTTTCTCTTGCTAGGGACGTTTTCTTGAGTGCTCTCTGGCAGCTCCCCGCCCCAGCATTCTCCCCAAAACAGAACTCCGTGCTCCGACCAGTCTCCCACTTAATTTATGGGATAACTCGAGTTCCCAGCTGACTCACCAGGAGAGACGGCCAGGCACCCAACTTTGAACCCTACCCAGTCCAGGTCACCAACCTCATCAATTTCCCTGGAAGATTTTGGACTTCCCCCTTGGACTTCTGCCCCTATGAAATCTTACGTCTGTAGATTTATTATATGGCATAGCTTTATAGACATAGTGATAATAAGACTACAGTAAAAGGACAGCTATTCCCTCCCGAATTATATTTTCTCTAAATTATCAAGAGATTTGGCCACTCTCACCATTTTGAACTTCTCAAAGTCAAAGGTTATCAGTCCTTCATTTGTAAAGTCTGATTCTCAGCTGGCTTTTAGGAATAGCATTGCATCTTGGCAAGCTGGCCATTGGTCCCTTCTCCTCCAACAGTCACTGTTGTCATAGTATATGGCATCTTCAAATAACAGCTGGAATGTAAAATAACCTTCTCCAAAGGAGAAGCAGAGAACAGCTCTACCCAGATGTTCCGGAGCTTTCACCTCGCAGTAGTGCACATGATGCCCCATTCAAGCTCACACTGACAGAACAGTATTAAGTTAGGACATGTCGGTTGAAATTTTTTCCAACCAATACCTAGGATTTGAGCTTTATGGCATATGAAATACAATATCCTTTTCTCTACTCCTCACCCAGGCCTCACAACAACCCTGTGAGCTGGGCATGGTGGATATCATTATCCCCATTTTACTAATGTAGAAACTGAGGTTCAGAGAGGTCAGGGAGCGAGACCAAGAGAATGCTGAGTGGAAGAGCCAGCACTCAACCCAGTTCTCTGCTTCCTCATCCACTTTTTTAAGTGCAAAGACTGTGAAAGAGGTTTTCTGCTCCCCTTCTCCCTACCTGAATGAATGGCATTCTCCTTTCACCAGTACGTGCACAATCTAGAAAGTTCCAAACAGGAAAGGGAATAATTGATCAAGTTAATTGTCATGGTCCAATGCAGGGTGGGGGTGGGGTGGCACGAATCTCATAATGTTCCTGACTTCTCAAGATCTGTAGTTTAACCAAGAACTCTTGTACCAGTGAGACTTCCTTCTTGCAGTCAGGTGACATTTCCTTTCTAAAGGTCGGAATTCCTGCTTTGCCCCTGGGAGAGGCACTGGCTGGAGCCATTTCACCAGCCAGGCCCGCGGCATACAGTTCCTGTACAGCTCTGCAGAGCCGCTCTGTCAGCCCAAAGGTATGTGGTCCCTCGGGCCTCTCCACATACGTAATAAGCAGGACAGCCCAATCTCATCTCTTTTCTGACTGGGAGCTGAGCCACCCCCTGGGAAGCACATGGTGGACGGTGTCCACAGTGCCCCCCCTGCTGAAGATTTCCCATAAGCCAAGGTTTTGGACAACTTGGTTGGATGGGGTTACAGCATTTAAGGTGGCAAATCTTTGGAGTCTTACCACCGTCCCATCCCTTTTCAGATACTCATTCCACACACGTTTAACCAAGCACCAGCTATGAGCCACCGTTTTGTTAAACCTGCAGACAAGGATGCAAAGACACACCCTCCCCACCAGAGCCACTCATCCTACACGAGTTGGTCCTTTAGAACCACTGCCTGGTTTCCAGTTGGTCTGAGTTAGTTGGCGAACTCAACTAGACCTTCCTCTGCCTTCCAAACACGACGACACGATCCCCTCACCTGGGGGGGCCGCCTGCCCTCTGTCAACCTTCCCAGGGGGAGTTCCTTGCTCAGTCACCAGCTAGACCCCTGCAAATCCAGTCCCTAGCTGCTCTTAAATATCATTTATAGAGTTGTGTTTTTTAAGTAAATAGTCAAGCATACATGTTACTTAATGGACAACAATAACTAAGTAAAAATGTGCATATATGAATAACAGCATGAAATAACACAGAAAGGACCCAATCTCCCAAATCACTATTTACATGTTTTGAACCTATTTCCACTCACTAATGAATCAGACACACTTTCACCTTATTGCTACCGTCATGTGATCATGATCCAAACTCTCTTCTTTGTTTCGCTTATGATTGCATCATGTAACATATTCTTGTAAATAGTTTTCATAGTTATCATGCATGGAGGCAGTAGCTCATCTTCCTAACCGACCACAATCTACTTAGCTGTCCCCCCATGGCTGAGTGGTTTCCAGTCAAGGCTCTGATTTACAGGGTGGCCACAAATGTCTCTGAGCAAAGACTTATTTTTCTGAATTACTTTCCCAGAATGTATTCCCCAAAGTGAGATAACTGAGTATAGTCTTTTTTTTTATACTCCTGCCGAGTATTCCCAAATTTCTCTCCAGGAAGCAATGTTTTATAGTGCCAGGAGTCTATTTCTCCACGACATATTTTAAAAATGTATTTTCGACACATGAAAGTGGCTGACTTGTTAAAATCTTTTCGCTTAGTCGCCCCAGCCCGTGAGCACCTCCTCCCGGTGAACAGCCTGTCCGGGCCCCTGACCAAGTGCGGAATCTTCATCGCCGCACCATCTGTGGAGGCCCTGCTCTCACTCAGGTCAATTCTACATACGTGGCTTTCTCATCTTATTGGGTTTTTTAATATTCATTATTCCTTGCTGTGTATACATTTCAAATTTTTATATAAATGAATCTGCCCACTTGACATTTCCCCTATCGCTTCCATAAACTAGCAATAACCTCCCCAGAAAAAGGACTTTCTTTTCCCCACCCCTAATGCCCTGCGATTTCTACTTGGCCTTGCCCAGAATTACTCTGGTTCTCACGAACACCCCATTGTCCACAATCCCCACGTTTCGACTCCCTTAGGTCTTCTCTCGACAGCCCCGGCTAAACACGTCCGCCTCGGCTCCACCACCGCAACGGCCTGTGCAAAGGACCAGGGTGGCGACTCACCTCCAGCTAGGTCCTTCCCTCCGGTTTCTACTCCTTCCCCTTCCCAGCCCCACTACCAACTTCTTAGGTTTACCAGCTGTTCTGTCTCCCAATCCCTTACTGGCCTCCAGGGTGAGGCTGTTTTCCCCAGCAGCAGTGGCCTACCGAAGGACACATGCCTTCACCCCTTACTTCAGCCAAATGAGAGCCAAAATTGCTCCAAAGTAACTCTGTTGGAAAACTAAGAGGAAACTAAAAATAGACTCCAGGATGGATGTACAGATATCAATACAGAAAGGACTTTACAGCCTACACAGGTCTGGGCTTGGAGGTGGCGGGGCTCCAGGGGGTGCCCCTTCTCTCACGCTCAGAACCCTGTGCGTTAGACTCTGGCCCTGCCAGAGACCCTGAGACCTTGGCCTCAGCTGGCATCTGTACTTGGTCCCCCACCCCATACTGCACTGGGGGTGCCATTGTCAGAGAAGCCTGAACACTTCCTGGCCACGGCTGGTAGAAGATGCCACTAACTGACTTTTCGAGATCCCAGGCCTCTTCTGACCTGGCATGTGTCCCTGTTGCAACCTGAGGAAAGCCAGCTCTCAGCTCCCCCGGAAGGCATGTGCCCGGCATACCCTGAGCCCTTCTGGGCTCGGGGGACTCCGGCCCACCCACCTGCTCAAGACTCTTGCCGGGCTCCTCCACCAGGAATGGTTTTGAAGAATGCAAATTAGGACCAGCTTACAAATCTCAGACTTAAACTCTAAGGACAGTAGCAGAAGGGCTGGCACCAATGGTGGGAGCAGTTACCCACCAAAAAGCAAGAGGTGCGGTCAACTCCCAGCACCCTGCCAGCCATCCTCCTTTGCCTGTGAGGGCTATGGTCATGCCACAACCCTCGGTCCCTATCTCTGCCCACCCAAAAAGGGGCTGGCAGTGTGGCATGTCACACTGAAAGGTTGCCAACACCTGCCCTCGGGGAAAATGCCCTAGTCTACCACACCGCATGGCAACCCTGCCCCCCTCCTCCTGCCCCAGTCCCTCCCCAGTCCCACCCAGTCCCACCCCAGTCTCCCAGCCCTTTAACTGTCAGGAGAACGGACCCGGAAGATGTGGATGGTCCCGTTACTGAGGGATACGACCAGGTACCTGCCGTCCACCATGGTGGTCACCCGGGGCTTTTCCAGGCCGTGATAGGCTGTCAGGAAGTCACCTAGTAGTGACCCCTTTGGGTCCAGGATCACCACCTTGTTGACCTCTCGCAAGGTCAAAAAAATGTAGCCCTTCTTATCCACAGACACAGAGCCCGGCTGGCAGCCGTGCAAGCCTGGTCCTCCATACTCCCCAATGACCTGGCCCAGCCCATCACAGACCACCACGCTATTCTGCTGCCAATCCGACCCCACAAAATTGCCCTGGGGGCTGGTGGTCAGGAACACCAGTGCCCGAAGGCCCCGGTTGGCTTTGCCCCCGGGGATAAAGCGGGTGGCCAGGCTGCCTTCCATGTTATACACCTCCACATGACCTGACACGCTGACAGCCACCCGGTCCCCGCTCGGCATTGCAGCCACAGCGTGGCTGGCCTGGGAGAGGCTCAGAGCTCGGCGCCACTGCACCTCCCCGTCAGGGCTGATGAGGTAGAGCCGAGCCCCGGCAGAGAAGGCCACCGCACCCTGCAAGGCCGCCACGCTGCACGGGGAGCAGCCCTCGGGGACAGGCACGGCACCTTTGTAGTCACCATTAAGGGAGAAGCGCTTCAGAGCCCTGTTCTGCTCATCTGCCACCAGGATCTCCCGGGGGCCAAAGGGACAGAGCCCAGTGATCCGAGGAGACCGCTTGTCACCAGGCATCCGCGTGGGAAAGCTGCAGGAAAAGATGGGCTTGGGGAGGAGGCCCGAGTCCTCCAGGTTTGGTCCAGGTGCTGGGCTGGGCTCCCGGGAAATTGACTTGAGCCTGCCTTTGAACTTCCTCTTCTTGTTGGATCTGCCACCAGTCTGGGCTCCCCCATCTTCTTGGGGCATCTGGGATCTGCCCTCTTTCGGGGTCTGGGCTCTCTCCACATTTGGGGTCTGGCTTCCATCTTTCTGTGGCACTGGGGTTCTGTCCTCCTTTGGGGCCTGGGCTCCATCCTCTCTGTGGTTCCGGGTTTCCTCGCCTTCCTGGCTTCTAGCTCCATCTTTTCCACTGTCCTTTTGGGGCTGCTGCTTCTCAAAGGAGAGCCATAGCAGGTGGCAGTTCTTATCCTGGAGCCCAGGATGAAGCTCCAGCTGGGGCAGCAGACAGGGGGATGGTCCAGGCATCCAGGGAAACCCCTGCAGCTGCTGGAGCCTCTGGGCAATTGCCCCCTCCAGAGACAGAATCTCGGCCTCACGGCCCAGGCTGAGCACCCGACGGGCAAAGGCAGCTGCCGCCCTGGCCACCTGCTCCCGGCTCTCCAGCTCCCCCAGCCTCTCTCGAGCAGCCTCCTCTGCAGCTTCCATGTGGGCCCGTAGCTGCCCCTGCACCTCCTTCTTCTGGGCCAGGAGGGCTCGGAGAACCCTCTCAGCCGCCTCTTCCACTTGTGACCCCACCCTGGCCACCTGCTCCCGCAGACAGGCTAAGGCTTCCTTTTCCGCCATCCGGGCGGCCTCTAGCTCAGCCATGTTCTTGTCCACACCTGCCAGTAGCTCCTCAAGGCCCGGTCTCCGGGCACGCACAGCTTCAGCCAGGGGCAGGCAGGGGTGGTCCAAGTGGGGGTCCAGGCGACACTCACGGCACAGTAGCTGGGAACAGGGCTGGCACAGGAATCGCAGGGCCTCCCCCGGGTGCTGGGGACACTGGGCTGCCTGGCGCTCCCGGGCCTCCTCGTCATACAGCCCTGCCCTGTAGCCCACCAGGTCCACCACTCGGTGGGTGTGCGTCTGCCGGGTGCAGCGGTGCCCGTCGGCACAGGCCTGGCACAAGTCATCAGCACAGTCTAGGCACCGGGCTGTGGCTGGACCCCCGGCACTGGCACCCCCCATCAGGGGGCACAGGGCACAGGCCGGCTTCCCTGCACGCAGGTCTCCACCGGCCCGAGCCGTCACTAAATCCAGGAGCCCGTTGACAAAGAAGTTGGTCTTGAAGGCAGCCACGCCTGCTGGCGGCACGGGTACCTTCTCGCGGCACTCGGGGCATCGAAGGTGGCCGCTGTCAGCCAGCTGGGCTAGGCAGTCCTGGCAGTAGGTATGCAGGCAGGGCAAGGTTTTGGGCACCCGCAGCTGCTCCAGGCAGATTTTACAGGCCAGGAAGTCACTGCTCAGGGCCTCCAGGAGAGAAGGCGAGGATCCCTGGGACACCATGCTGCAAGTGAAGGGGCAGGGTTAGAGGGCAGAGGGCACCGCCACAGGGCCTCCAGCCTGCCCTCCTGCCTATCCCTCTATGCTCAAGCCCTACCAGGTCTGGAGAATCACCTGAATGGCCAGAAATTTTCTTCTGGTCTTGTGGGTCCTCTGGCCACTTGCTCTCGAGCGAGGGAGCTGCCCTCTTCCTTGCATACATTCAGCAAATGTGGAAAAGTCGGTGCCGCTTGCATATGTCAAGAGATGTAAGAAATGACAAGACCAGAAGCCTGGCCACAGAGAGCTGATAGTGTAATGACTGGTGCCCTGATTGACAGGCCGTGTGGCAGGTGAGGCCTGAGCCCCTGTGTGCACAGGTCCTGGGGATCCTGCTGGGGTGGGGGGACACAGCAGAAGGTCCAGGCGGGCAGAGTTTTCTTGATATCTGGCATTCGGGGCAGTATAATTGGTCCCAATTTCCCTGTCCCACACAGCTGTCTTCTTCTAGAGCCTGGGAGCTGCATCATGGGTAGTGGGGACCCTACTTGCTGCCTGACTTTCTGAAATGGGTGCTGGAGCAGGCAGCAGAAAGGCTGAGAAGAAGGGGCTGTCCTGCCCTCTCCTTCCAGCCGATGGATCTTGGGGTCACTGTAGCCTTTGCCTCATCTCCTAGAGTCCTCTTCTTTCAGTCTTTCCTGCTGCAAGAGGCCCTCTGCTCTCCTAGGAACCTCTGAGGAGGCGGAGTTGTGTGGGGTTCATCTGTGAGTCCTCCCAGCTCCCAGCACAGCAGCTGTGAAATACTTGACAGCCAGACTTGGGGAATTTCCCCAAAACTTAAGAAAGTGGGAGCTGGGAGGAGAGTTCAGAGAGTGGGAGGGGGTCTTTCCCAAGGTAGCCTCACACTGTTGGCCCTGTGGGGTGAAGTGGGGGTGCTCCCGCCGGGTCTCCCCTCTCCTCTTGACTTCCGGGTCCCTCTCTCCCCCTCCCCCCTCCCTTCCTCTTCCTCCCGTGCTCTCTCTCCCCTCCCCCCATTCCCTCCAGTTCAGCTCTTCCTCTAGCTGCCCTTTCCTTCTGTCTCCTTACCTGGCCTGAGCTGACCTTGGGCTGCAGAACCAGGAGTAGGGGGCTGAGGTCGGGAAACGGCTGTTGCTGGGTGCCTGGAAGAGAAACAAAACTGAAACTAATTGTACTTGTGCAACTTCCGTCCCAGCCCCGGGACACTGACTTGCACAGCCTCAGGCCCCGCCTTCTTCCCCTCCCCGCCTGCACCTCTTCCTGGGGGCGGGCGGGGCGGCGGGGGGGTGGGGGGCGCCCGCATCAGGGCTCGGGCCCCCTCCGGGAGCCTGCAGGGTCTGCCTGTCAGGGTCTGCCTGCCTAGCCTCAGGACTTGCTCAGCCAACTAAGCATGTTTGTCGCAAATTCAGGGAACTGCCTAAGGACGAGTCCTCCGAGGAAAAAAATTAGGGCTCCTGTGTGATTCAGACCCCAGTCCTCGGGCCAGCTTTCCACTGCTGCAGCTTTTCTGCAAATCCAGTGCTAGGTGAGGGCCCTGGTGCTATAACCTTCTGCTGGGCTATGGGAGAGGTTGTAAGAACCATGTAAGGGGCCTCCATCTGAGGGGGCAAGCAAAGGCTCCCTGGAGGAGGTGGCACTTGAGATGAGTCTGAAGAGTGAACAAGGGTTTGGGGTCGCTGGAGAACAATAGAGGGGAGAATGTTCTGGGCAGGAGCAGCAAGTATGTGGACGCAGAATGAAATACAACTCTCCCGGCTGGCTCTAACTAACTAGGACAGTTTGTGGGAAGGGGACCTGTGAGTGGTGGCAGATGAGACTGTAGAAGCAGGCAGTGTGGCCATATCACAAAGGGCCTTATGAGCTACATGAAGGTGTTTTCATCCAACACGCCAAAAGAAATCACCGAAGGTTATTTTCACCAACATCTTATGAAAATGTTGAAGCACAAAGAAGTTGAAAGAATTGCGGTGAACACTCGTATACCCCCACCACTTCGATTCTGCAGTGAATGCTTTACTGTAGCTGATTCATTATAAACCTATACGTGTATGCACCCCTTTATACACGATCACAGGATTTCAGCAGGAAATCCAGCTGAGGGCTCACTGTGGCAGCAGTCAGAGAATAAGGGGAGCCTGACGAGAGGATCCAGGTGAAAAGCGTGTCTGTGGGGGGCGGAGTCTGAGCTGACCCGGTGAAACAGGGACAGAGAGGAGGGTGGAGGAGTGGCTGTTGGAGGCAAGAGAAGCCGTGGCACTTGTCATCAGCCCTGGGAGGGTGGTGAAAGAAGGAGGGCAGCATATCCCTTAGGTGTTTCGGGTCAGGAGGGGAGGCTAGGCTGGCGACACCTAAGCTGGTGGCTCTTCCATACTTTTCAAGTGCGTATCTGTGGTTTTGATGAGGTCACTCAACAGTGTCCAAAATGAGAAGAACAGGACTGAGATGGCACTACGTGGAACACAGACATTTAAGGGCAAAGGGGAAGGGGCTGGAAGGAATCCAAGAAGTAGTTACCAGAGGGGTAGGTGGAAATCCAAGAGAAAAGTCACAGGAGTCACAGCTAGAGAATGCTGAGCTTCCAGACAAAGGAAGTGACCAGTGCTGTGGAATGCTGCAGACTAGATGGTCAGCCAAGATGAGGACAGAAAAATGTATTGGTGTACGTGTGCCCCTAAGCGTATGCATATACCTGCTTGTGCATATGGCCTCTGTGTGTGCTTGTTGTGAACATTCAAGGATTTGTTGAATGCCTACCGTGGCCACGTGGTGTGCCATGCACTGCGGAATATACAAGACAAACAAGATATGTTCTCTGCCCACAAGGAGTTTACAGTCTAATGGGGGAGGTGAAATATGTACATGGTGAGACAGTAAGACAAATACGATATTAAGGTGTCAAAATAATCGCCACAATGGCTTCCTTGTATTGAGAATTTAGCATGAGCTTGACCTGGGGCATTATAAACATAACCTGATTTAACCCTCACAGTAACCTGGTGAGGTAAGTATTGTTATTGCCTTCATTTTACAGGTGAGGAAACTGAGTTAGAGAGAGAAAAAGTGATTCACATGAGGTCATATAAAGTGCCATGACAAAACAGAAAAGGGAGAGTTTGATTTCTCCTGGAATGGTGGTGGTGGTGTGGAAGTCAGGAAGGCTTCCTGAAAGAGGAGACATTACAGTGGCTGTCCTACCCTGCTCCCTTTAATGTTGAACAGTTGCTGAAAGTGTCTGCAGTGTGGGGCCGGACCCCATAATGAGTTTCTCTACCCTGAGAAAAGGCTCCTAAACCAAGTGATATCTCCACTGCAGCCAATAGATAAGCACTGCTGTGGAGACAAGGGCAGGGGAGGAGGAACCGGGGGCAGGGTGGAGACAGCTGCTGGATGTAGGGGCACCTCAAAGATGACTCTTGGGGAAGTTGGTTGGTCTGATAGGACTGGAAAGAGGGTGGGTGGAGGGTAGTGGCAGGAAATGGAAGTTGGGCAGGCAGAACAAACTAAAATTTCCTGTTTAGAATCCTGTAAGACCTTAAATTAATAGGGAGCCATTATAGGATTTGTAACATTTGGACTTTGTTCTGTAGGTACTGGGGGGAGGGGGTTGGGAGTGTGAGCAAAGACTTTTAATCTTTAAAAAAAATCTTAATTTATATAAATAATAAGGATAATTTAAAGTAAATTTTAAAATAACATCACCATTGTAACAAAATATTTTTGTGTATATTTCTTTTGTTCACTGTCCATATGAAATATATTTTACATAATTGTATTTATAGTGTATGTGCACTTTTTCTCTATTTAATCACTTAATGTTATATCAACATTTTCTATATTTCTACATAGTCTTCATAGTTATTGTTAATGCTGCATAATTATATCCCATAGTGTACCTAACTAGTTAGTAAAATGCTGATAAGACAACTTTGCCCTTACTAGTTTCCATGATGTAAATAGGGTGTAAATATTCCCACCAGAGCTGACTTAACAACCAACTGCAAAACTCCTGAAATTTAACAATGACCTCTCAGGAGCGAGTGCTTCGAGGAAGCTTTTAGCGTCCTCTGTCTCCAAGTTCTGAACTTCACAGTGAGTGCATAACGCTGGGCGTTCGGTTGGCTCTTTCACTCTGGAAATAGTTTCCCTCTAGATCTGGGGGATTTTCCTAAAGTATTTTGTTGATGATCTTCTCCCCTCTGTCTTCTGTTTTTCTCTTCTAGAAGTTCCATCAATCAGATCATTCAGATATTGTACCTCTCTTTTTTAAAAGATTTTATTTATCTTTTTAGAAAGAAGAGAAGAGAAAAGAGAGAGGAAGAGAGGAAAAGAAACACTGATGTGTGAGAGAAACATCAGGTATATGCCCTGACTGGGAATTGAACTGGTAACCCTTCAGTTCACAGGCTGGCACTCAGCCCCCTAAGCCACACCAGCCAGGAACAGATGCTGTATCTCTTAAATGAGTATTCTAATTTTTTTCTGTTATTTTCCACTTCTTTCTCTTTTTGTACTACTTTCAGGGAGATATTTTTCATCTTAAACCTTCCAACCCTTCTATTGTGTTTTTCAAATCTGTTGTCATGGTTTTACTGTATTTTGCCATGTGTAATTCATACCCACATTTTTGGCCCAAATTTTCAGGAAAAACATCTTTCATTTTAATTCAACTTTTTATTTATATTTAGATACTTGTTTTTTGTATTGTAAAGGAATTTTAGCATTTATTTTTCTAAAGATTTTATTTATTTATTTTTAGACAGAAGGGAAGAGGGAGAATGAGGGAGAGAAGTATCAATGTGTGGTTGCCTCTCGCGCGCCCCCTACTGGGGACCTGGCCCACAATCCAGGCATGTGCCCTGACTGGGAATAGAATCTACAGCTCTTTGGTTTACAGGCTGGCGCTCAAACCACTGAACCACACCAGCCAGGGCCTTAGTTAGCACTTAGTTTTGAACATACTATATACAAGAAATTTTACGTAACAAATAATTACAAAACGCAAGGACAGATACAAGGTATTTTAGGTACTACCCATGTATAATGTGCATCTTTATTTTTCCCTTAAAAATTTGGGCAAAAAAGTGTGCATTATATATGGCAAAATATAATTCATGAGTTCCCTTTTTATCACTTTATTTTTCCTGTGGAAACAATATCTTCTATCTCTGAGGATATGAATGATTGTATTGTGTGTGTGGTTTTAGCTTTCTTTGCCTTGTATAGTTTCTGTTACCTCAGAGTGATTTTTCCTCCCTCCCTCTCTTTCTCTCTTTTTAGGTGATGGTGGTATTTATTGTTTTGCATTTTAAAATTAGCTTTCTAAACTGTAATTTACATATTATAAAAATCACTAATTTAAGTCTATAGTTGAATTAGGTTTTTAAAAAATATTTCCTTTATTTTAGAGAGAGGGGAAGGTAGAGAGAAAGAGAGGGAGCGAAACATCGATGTGTGAGAGATGCACTGGGATCAGTTGCCTCCTGCATGCCCCTCAACTGGGGACCAGCCCCACAGCCCAGACATATGCTCTGACTGGGAACTGAACCAGTGACCCTTCACTTTGCAGGATGACACCTGACCAACTGAGCCAGACTGACCAGGGCCATAGTTAAATGAGTTTTGACAAAGGTATATAGTCAAGCAATTAACCAACACAACCGTATGGGGTTGGCAAAACTAGACTTACAGTTGTATGTGAAACAGAGTTTATTCTTGTATTATTATTTATTGTTATATTATATAGTTTTCCATATGAACAACTGTAAACCTACTTTTTCCCACCCCTGTATATATATCACCAATTTTTTAATCATTTTTCGACGGGCACTTGGGTTGCTTCCATATCATGGCTATTGTAAATAATGCTGCAATGGACATAGAGCTGCATATATTCTTTTGAATTAGTATGTCAGGCTTTTTTGGATATATACTCATAAGTGGACATATGTCAGTTCCATTCTTAATCTTTTGAGGAACCTCCATACTGTTTTCTACTGTGGCTGCACCAGTCTGCATTGCCACCAAGAGTGCACTAGGGTTCCCTTTCTCCACGTCCTCACCAACACTTGTTGATTTATTGATGATGGCCATTCTGACAGGTGTGAGATGATATCTCACTGTGGTTTTAACTTGCATTTCTCTGATGATTCGT